ATACTCCCTCCGTTCCTAAATAATTGTCTTTCTAGCTATCTCAAATGAACTACAACATACGGATGTATGTAGACATGTTTTAGAGTGTAGATTCACTCATTTTGCTCCGTATGTAGTCATTTGTTGAAATCTCTAGAAAGACAATTATTTAGGAACGGAGGGAGTAGTAGACAACAACGCTATTGTAGCTTATCATCCAGACCATTGCAGTTATGTGGAAGCTCCACGAGGAAGGTCAGGTAGCACCCGACCGGCGCCAGGTTGAACGCCATGAAGTTGCCAACCCCAATGCTGTACAAGTCCTACAAATAGTTGAGCAGGTGCCATCCATCATGGAGTTCACCGCCCTTTTTTTGTGGTCATTTCAAGTTACCTGTATTGTTCCCGAGATCTCGCTGACAACTGAAACAAGAGTTTGCTTGTACCGATAACTGCTGAAAGCATGTATGTGGTTCTGAATTATGTGTCGTCTGCTAGTTCCAAATTTGTGCTGGAGTTTTAGTGAGTTCGTGTCTTCATGATGGTTCTTGTGCATTCGAAATTTGCAGTTGAGAATTTTTCTGTCTGATCCTTTCAGTCCCATCCATTTAATTTACTCCCTCCGATCCAAAGAAAGTGTCGCGGTTTTGAACTAAGGTTAGTTCAACCTTATTACAAAGCTACGACACTTGTTATGGACCAGAGGGGGTGGTACTTAACAAGTTGACAGCATGCAGTGCCAGCTACAGCATAAGTGAAACAAGTATGTAACAGGGCACACTTGCTCTAAGGTTATAATTTTCTGCATCATTGTGCACAGTTGTTAACTGAAAGGATGTGTAATTTGGTGTCAGCAAAACTGTCTCCGACTAAACTTGTGCTATGTCGCTATGTCCGCAGAGGCCGGGGAGACCCCCCTTTTCGAAAAAAAAATGATCATCCTATGCCGCTATGTCTGGCAAAGCTTGGAAAGATTGGAAGGCGGATATGAGTACAAGCCACTCATCGCTGCAGTTGCTATGATATTGTTTGCAGCTTCTGTGGCAGAGAGAACTCAATCCCAGCTCACTTAGTTCTGCGGGTCTCCGCTGTCTCGGCAGGCCGTTGCTGGTAAGTACTCCCTCCGTTCGGAATTACTTGTCACAGAAATGGATGTATCTAGATGTATTTTAGCTCTAGATACATCCATATTCAAGACAAGTAATTCCGAACGGAGGGAGTACCACAGTACACATTTGGGTCAAAATCGTAAGCTCTGTCATCTTATCCGGAGCAAGCCTTGGTCCCATACTTCATCCCTGAAATCATCGTCCAACCAGTTTCAGTAGTACTGCTTGACACTTGTATTTTCAGATATGGGTATGAACCAGAACGACTGATGTACTCATTGGATGGCAGAAACGATTCTAGAGAGAGATTACCATGATCTTCTGGAAGCCTTAACATCTCAACTCTCAAGCATAACAGAATGTCTGTCGACCTACACGATCGATGTATCCTGATCATTGCTGCTATCGCAAAGCTCGATGAGGAAGGCCGGGTAGCACCCGACTGGTGTCATGTTGAACACCATGAAGTTGCTAGCCCCAATGCAAATAGTTAAGGAGTTGCCAAACGTTATTTTGGTCATTGCAAGCTATACTAACCACCATTTGTACTACCCTCAGTTACCTTTAATGTCCCCCTATATGTGTCTGACAACTGAAGGAAGAGTTTCCCTGACATCAGGTGAATTTTACAGTCTCGTGTACAGCAAACAAAATCCATCTTGGTTTGAACTGCAAAATTCAAGAAGTTCAGACAATGTTCGCAGTGTCATTTTGTCAGGAGTTTTTTTTTTCACCACAGGTGCCAACCGATCCGATCACTTCACTGCCGAACTCCTTCATCCGTCGGAGCTGAATGGCATGGGAGAAGGGGCTGATCCCGGTGACGAACAGCGACATGTCTGCGCCGTCAAGCCTGCCGCGTGGCAAAGTTCATGGGCATTGCGTGAATCAAGTGTGGGCTCAGTCATTTGACACAATTAGTATTTAACATTTTTCATCATCCTTGTCACAAATTGCTCCGGGCTTGAGCTTCGGAAATTTCTACTAGGTGTGCATCAGAGTGCCATCGAATTGATATCACTGAGCTTCCGTGCTGTATCTGCTTCGTTCGTTGTCTTACATTTCTTTGCCGCGTGATCTTGTCCCGTAATGGCCCGATTATGCTGGTTGCTCTTGGGCTACAAAAAAGTTGAGTCCAACTGGCCCACTCTCAAGAGTCCTAATGCCAAACCAAGGACGAGACTCTCTCTTTTTCTGCTGGTTCGCGCTTCAGAAATCAGACATGGCCAGTATATTCTGTAGATGCAGAAGATTACCAAAATCTGACCCTTTCGGTTCAACGCCAGTCTTCATGGCGTTTACATTTTTTTCCATGCCGATGTCTAAAATCCGGCAAGCCAAACTCCATAGCCCATGGCGTTTATGCAGCTAGGCCAACACTGGTTCAGTGAGGGTGTCTCCTAAGGGGAAAACGCAAAGGAAAGCCGGAAGCGGATAAACCGATGGAAAACACTGATTCGTGGTAATCTTTACATGAAAAAGATGCACCTCGATGCTACGGTTTCATTTAGGTGATCGGTTCGTAGTTTCGTCGACCGTAAGTTCTTAATCTTGTCTTCTTGTTTGGAGCTATTCTGGACGAATTTTGTTAGATTCGTCGCGCATGATCGATCATTTGAAATTTTCTTTGACCAGCAGCCTAACCTCGCAGTTTCTCACAACATTCATGTTCTAAATTTTTGGTTTCAACGATCGTAGCTTTATCTCTTTTTGAGTAGCAGTCTACTGCACCGACGCCGCCATGTCGAGCTCCTCTGTCCTCTGCTCGGAGCCCTCCTATTCGCCCCTCTCGACGCCGAAGCCCTTCCCCTTAATCTCCTTACCCATGTCCTACTACACTAGAGTCGTTTCCGGCGTCGCTCATCTCAGCCTACTCTCTATTGTCCTCCTACTGCACTGACGTTGCAATGGCGCGCACACTGCTTCTTGTGTCCTCTGCCTCCGTGCACACTGCAGTTCGCCGCACCGCCGACGGGGTCGATCATCTTGGCCTCCTCTCTCTCGCCCTACTACACCGGAGTCATTTCCGGTGTCGATCATCTCGGCCTCCTCTCTCATCCACTGCACTGACGATACCATGGCGCGGGCATTGCATTCTCCTCCTCTGTCAACTGTCTTTGCGGGAGCACCGTAACTAGTTCGTCGACGGTGTCGCTCGCCGTGCCGCCGACGGGGTTGCTCGTCCATGACTCCATACTCATCATGTCGGACACGTCGTCACGACCACTATCCATCGCAGTCGCTATGGTCGGCCGCACACTGCATTTCTTCTCCCCCTTTCTCTGCTAGCTCTTAACCTTGTGTGCTAAGTGCAAGTGCTAGCTCTTAAAAGTTTGCAGGATCTTAAAGTTACATAAAAATGCTATCATCATATTCAACTGCAGATCAAGCGTGTTAGAATGATTTGGATACAAAAGATTATGTTATACTTCTTGATTCAAGGGGCACCTTCTAATTTCCGCATGTAATCCATCTTTTTAAATTGTTTGGATTGCTTACCAAAGGTCGCCCACTAGATGAAGCTCGCTCCCTTGGGCCGGCCCATGGTAGGGCGTGCGGCTATCAGGCGTAATGTGCTCGTAGGTCACGAGGCGTGGTGCGGTCGGAGGCAGCGGACAATGAGACACATGAAGAAGGGGGTGGTGCAGTCGCAGGCGGTTCTTGTATGTAAAAATCGATTTGAATAAACTGAAAAATGGAGGGACGATAAAGCCTAAGTATGGAGGGCTTTAACGTCAGAACAAAGTGATAGATCGAAATGAAATACTATCTCCGCATTGAAATGCAAAATGTTTGTGCAGTTCAAATTCAAGTACAAAATGTCTTATATTTTGGTATGGAAGGAGTGATTTTTTTTAAGTAAGCGAAGTCAGCCGTACAAGTACAAGAACTGTATGATTTGGCTTTCAATGGCGAAAACACTTCCCCTTTATACGTTATTTTTTGTTGTGCACACTCATTTCATACATGGTCTACACTTAATAGAACGGAATATCAAACGTTGCTTAAAGCGGTGTGTATGCAGCTCGAGCGAGTGGCCTCGGTGGCTTTTACCCGTCAGGGTTGGCAACAGAATTCCAGATCGGACCGCCAACTCTTTCGATATAGACATAGAGGATGTTTGTTTCCAGGGACTTATTAGTTTAGGGACTTAAAAAAGTCTCTATAAGTCCCATCTAAACCAAACAGGAGGGACTTACAGGGACTTAAAGTGGGCATTTGGGACTTATGAAATAAGACTCTCAAGGAGGGACTTATAGTTGTAATATAGTCTTACAGAGATTTATAAGTCCCAGGAACCAAACAGATAAGGACTTTTTAGGGACTTGTGACTTATAAGTTGGGACTAAAAAAAGTCCTAGAACTTATGAACCAAACAGGGCCATAGCGTTGGTCTTATACAACTCTACCATTGCCGATATGTCAGTTTTTTTTTTATCAAACTGCTTTGTTTAGCTGTGTGCATCTTATTAGTTATGTAGAGCCCAGACGTGCTCGTCATGTTTTGTACACATCTGAGTTAATAAAAATGTCCTTTATAAAAAAGTACAATGACTGCTATACTAAACTCCGGTATCAATCTTATCAATCCAACTCGGGTAAGCATGAGATAATCATCTTAATTCATCTCGTGGCAAGCGTGAGATTCCGTGACCCAATGATCATGCCGCCCCATGATGTAGCCCACATGGCGATGGCGATGGATAGGGTAGCGCCCCACGCCCCGCGCAGCCTCACCGGCCGACAGGGACAGCGCCAGCTCGCGCGGTCTCGTCGCGCGTCCGCACTCCCGGCGAGCGACAATAAAGTCTTCTCCTCCATTTCTGGCTGTTTCATCGGTCTCAGAGCGAGCCTTCCGCCCGCTGCACGTAGAGAGAGAGAGAGCTAGAGACGACGACGTCGACGGCAGCCATGGCCGGAGCGGGCCGCCGCCGCGTGGTGTTCTTCCCGTTCCCGTTCCTCGGCCACTTCAACCCGGTGCTCCGCCTCGCGGGCGCGCTGCACGCGCGCGGCCTCGCGGTCACCGTGTTCCACACCGAGCAGCGGGTGCCGGACCCGGCCGACTACCCCGCGGACTACCGCTTCGTGTCCCTCCCCGTGGAGGTGCCCCCGGAGCTGGCGGCGTCCGAGGACATCGCTAGGATGGGCATGGCCATGAACGACGCCGCCGAGGCCCCCTTCAGGGACCGGCTGGCCGCGCTGCTCGCCGAGGAGGAGGCGGAGGACGGCGGCGTCCTCTGCGTCATCACCGACGTCGTGTGGTACTCGGCGCAGGCCGTGGCCAGGGAGCTCGGCGTGCCGGCGCTGGGGATCATGACCGCCAGCGCCGCCATCTTCCGCGTCTACATGGCGTACCAGACCTTGATTGACAAGGCCTACTTGCCCGTGCAAGGTGATGCCTTCGCTTGATTCCCCTTCATTCATTCGCCATTTTTTTAGATCGATCAGCAAACACATTGTTGGATTCATTATCGGTCAAGCTGGGAATGCATCACGAGCTGAGACCGTTCGCTCGATGTGGATGGATCTGTGCAGATGCGCGCAAGGACGATCCGGTGGAGGAGCTGCCGCCGTACCTTGTGAAGGATCTGCTGCGGCACGACACGAGCAAGCTGGAGGACTTCGCGGAGCTGCTCCGGCACACCGTCGCCGGGGCGCGCCAGTCCTCGGGCCTCATAATCAACACCCTGGGCGCCATCGAGGCCGCCAACCTGGAGCGGATCCGCGAGGACCTCTCCGTCCCGGTGTTCGCCGTCGCGCCTCTCCACAAGCTGGCGCCGTCGGCCAAGTCCAGCAGCCTGGGCGAGACGCAGGCGGACCGCGGATGCCTCGGCTGGCTCGACACGCAGGAGCCCGGCAGCGTGCTGTACGTGAGCTTCGGGAGCCTGGCCGCCATGGACCCGCACGAGTTCGTGGAGCTGGCGTGGGGGCTGGCGCTGAGCAAGCGGCCGTTCGTGTGGGTCGTGCGGCCCAAGCTCATCCGCGGGTTCGAGTCCGGCGAGCTGCCCGACGGGCTCGGGGAGGAGCTGCGCGGGCGCGGCGTGATCGTGAGCTGGGCGCCGCAGGAGGAGGTGCTGGCGCACCCGGCGGTGGGCGCCTTCTTCACGCACAGCGGCTGGAACTCGACGGTGGAGGCGATAGCGGAGGGCGTGCCGATGATCTGCCACCCGCTGCACGGCGACCAGTACGGCAACGCCAGGTACGTGGCCGACGTGTGGAGGGTGGGCGTGGAGGTCGACGGCTCGCACCGGCTGGAGAGAGGGAGCATCAAGGCCGCCATTGGGAGGATGATGGAGAGCGGGGAGGGGCGGGAGATCGGGGAGAGGATGAAGGCGCTGAAGATGGCCGCGGAGGATGGCATCGGCGAGCGTGGGTCGTCCCACACGCATCTCAGCGATTTGGTGGCTCTCATCAAGTCATTCTGACTGAATAATTCCATATATCTATATGATTTGGTTTCTCTCATGTCGAATAAAGGAAACCTATTGATTCGATGGCACTCTGATGCACAACTAGTAGAAATTTCTGAAGCACAAGCCCGGAGCAATATGTAACAAGGATGATGAAAATGTTAAATGATTGTGTCAAATGAAGAACATCGGTTCCTTTGTGAGTGGTGGTGACTGAAGCTGAACCCACGCTTGATTTCGTAATGCTTCACGCGATGCACATGAACTTTGCCACGCTGGCTTGACGGCGCTGACGCTCGACGTGTCGCTGTTCGTCGCCGGGATCAGCCCCCTCTCCCTCGCCATCCAGCTCCGACAGATGAAGGAGTTAGGCAACAGAGCGATCGGATCGGTCCGCACCTGTGGTGAAAAAAAAATCCCCTGACAGAATGACACTACCAACATTGTCTGAATTTCGTGAATTTTACAGTTGAGACCAAGATGGATTTTGTTTGCTGTACAGGAGACTATAAAACTCACCTCATGTTTCAAGCAGCTTTTTTTTTTTTTGAAACAAGGCAAAAGACTTGCCATTTCATTGCTAAAGGGAAAAAAGTTTTAGACAGAAACCGCAAAGCGGCAAATAAGAGGCCTACTCTCGCGGCACTACAACACCCAAATGTCTCGCTCCAGCCATAGCCCAAAGTAACACCTCCTGTTTGATTTTGTTGATGATGACCATGAAAGGGGCCGCCGAGTTGCGGAAGACTCTAGCATTGCGCTCCGACCAAACCTCCCAAGAGATGAGCATCATAAGAGAGGCAAGCGCCTTGGGCGAGTCAAGACGGAGCTGAAGGTTTCCATTCCACCATTCTCTGACCGGGTAGACGTGGTGTTTCAAGCAGCTTTCTGTACACGATAGACTTTCAGGCAAACTCTTCCTTCAGTTGCCAGACACATATATATAGGGGACAATACAGGTAACTGGGGGTAGTACATATGATGGTTATTGTAACTTGATGAAATGGCCAAAATAATTAACAGAGCCCAATGATCAATGCTTGAGATGTTAAGGCATCCAGAAGCTCATGGTAATCTCCCTCTAGAATCATGTCTGCCATCCAATGAGTACATCGGTCCTTTTGGTTCATATCCATATCTGAAAATACAAATGTCAAGCACAGTACTCGTACTACTGAAACTGGTTGGCCTTCCTCGTGTAGCTTCCGCATTACACCAAGGCTTGCTCCGGATACAGTAACAGAGCTCACAATTTGAACCCAAATGTGTGCCAGCAAGTTTGTAAACGGCGACATTGCAAGCGCGACGGCCTGCAGAGACCCGCAGAACTACATGAGCCGGGATGGGATTCATGCCGCAGAAGCTGCAAACAATATCATAGCAACTGCAGTGATGAGTGGCTTGTACTCATATCCACTTTTAATCTTTCAAGAAAATTTTGAGACATAGTCTCATACTCTCATAGGCTGATCACAGCACGAGTTTATTTGGAGAGAGTGCTTCTGACACCAAATTGTGCATTCTGTCAGTTAACAGCGGTGTAGGATGATACAGAAAATAATGGCCTTAAACAATAGCCTTAATTTTTTTTTCTTTTTCTTTTGTACAACAAGCAATCAGCTTGTAGAAACTGCATGCTGTAAACTTGTTAGATTAAATGGATAGTACTGAAAGGATCAGACAAAATAACTGTAGTATCTACTGTAATTGTCATCCGCAAGTCTCTGATCCACAAGAATCATCATGAAGACATGAACAATCTCAACCAGAAAAAACAGCACGAGAATCATCCCCAGAAGGATATCATTCAGCAAACATAACATCAATTCACAGAATTTAATTAATAAGATCTGAGAAATGGAGATAAAGTAGATGACATCCATTGCAAATTTTCAACAGAGCACAACAGTTATTTTGTCTGAAATGGAGATGAAGGTCAAGTGGCGATATGTTGATGTGATGCGGGATTCAGCTTCAGCTAATTCAGCCCAGCCAAGTTCAGAATCACATCGAACAGAGCCACAGGCTCAATTGAATTCACCTGATGCCTGTAGAAACGTGCAAAAAAAACAGGCGCAATAAAACTGAATCACACAGCGACAAATTGCAGAATCACGGAGCAATTTATAATCAAACATTGACACTGCAGTAAAAAAATTGCATCAGATCAATAACTGATCTTTCCGTTGCCATTGCGATTTCATTCGAGCATCTAGATACATAGGAGATAGGACCAGACGACACATCATATCAACACAAACAAACAGAAGCACCGGACAGTCGGACACACACCCGGATCACAGGACAAGAACAGCTACTGGCCAGTATTACCGGCGACCAAGACGAACCTAGGCGCGCTCCCCTCGGATGCGGCGGGCGAGCTGGATGTCCTTGGGCATAATGGTGACGCGCTTGGCGTGGATGGCGCACAGGTTGGTGTCCTCGAAGAGCCCGACGAGGTAGGCCTCGGCGGCCTCCTGGAGCGCGGAGACGGCAGAGGACTGGAAGCGGAGGTCGGTCTTGAAGTCCTGCGCGATCTCACGGACGAGGCGCTGGAAGGGGAGCTTGCGGATGAGCAGCTCCGTGCTCTTCTGGTACTTGCGGATCTCCCGGAGCGCGACGGTTCCCGGCCTGAAGCGGTGGGGCTTCTTCACGCCGCCGGTCGCCGGCGCCGACTTGCGGGCCGCCTTGGTGGCGAGCTGCTTCCGCGGCGCCTTGCCGCCAGTGGACTTGCGCGCCGTCTGCTTCGTGCGGGCCATTGGGATGGAGGGGCTGGGGATCTGGCTTTGGAGATTGGGATTTCACTTGGCGGTGGTGGAATTGGGGGAGAATGGAGGTGGGTTTTAAAGGGGATCGAACGAGGATGGGTTTGGCGCTTCGCGCCGTCGCGCGCGGTAATTTGGGGCTCCGGATTTCGGCCTGGCGGGCTGGGAGGAGGAGGGTGGGATGGGCGCCGTTGGATCGAAGCCAAATGGAGGGTGGCGATTTGGAGTTGCTGCGTCACGCGGATCGCGATCCGCGTGCTCTGTGAGCGATGCCGCGGACTTGTGGATGAGCTCCGTTTTGGCACACTGGTGAACGAGCTTCCTTTTTCTTTTCTGCCATTTCGAACGTACTGCTGCTAGTAGATCAAAATGCATATTTGCCCGTATTTTTTTGGTGGTTTTTTTTTTGAGAAAACGTCAACACTTTATTAATCAAGCAACGTAGTTACATAGAGTATTCCGGATGCAAACCGGAGTAGAATGGAAAACACAAAGACCATTAGAGTCCATACAAGACTTGGCTAAATAATGAGCTAAAACATTAGACTGCGGACAAATATGCTTGAACAACACAGAAGAGATGCTCGACACGCCATATTTGATGTCCAATACCACTAAGCCCACCAGCAAACGGACAGGGACAGAAGAATTGACCCTCTGCACCAGGGATGGACAGTCGGAGGCGAAGATCACCGAGTCACATCCTTCCTCCCATGCAAGATAAACAGATCGCCGAAGAGCCAAGGCCTCGGCCAACTCAGGTACAAGCCTTCCATTGGTCGCTTCTCGGCGGACAACAACAGATTGGCCATCAGAATTTTTAGCGACTACCCCTGCACGACCAACCTTCCCTAGCTCGGAGAAGATCGCAACATCAGGTAAATTGAAATGCAAGAGTTAGGAAGAGACAAGTTACAGGAAGAGGTGGATCAGGAAATGGGAGAGGAAATTCTACAGGAGGTGGGAGAGGAGCCGGGAGAGGCAATGCTACAGGAGGTGCAAGAGGTGCTGGAAGAGTATACGACAATGGAGGAAGGACAGAACCAGAGGCTGGACTATGGAACTTGATGTTAGGAGCAAATGCAGATAACTCACATGTGGGAGCAGAGGAGGAGCCCATCACACAAAATGCACCACAAGGGGATGAGTGGCCTGATGACTTCCTCTCCATGTAGATGGGAAATTTGATACACAATTTCATGTCTGAACTTGTTGAAAATGCAATAATGAACTTGATCTTTTGCTTAGAGGCCTATTTTGATTACAAGACCTATTCTTATTTTCTTATTACTATAACGAACATTTCGAATGTGATGTTACGTACTTTAAATTTTAAGTATTTGGTTGCAATGTTATGTACCAGACTTGTTCATAGTGTTGCTATCGAAAATTTGGTACCGAATATCATTGTTGCTGTCAAAATTTGTATCTCTTCACAATGTGGATGCCAAGATTTGGCAATAATATTTAGTGCTGCTGTGAAGTTAATTATCATGTACTACTGTCAAAGTTACAGTTAATTATCATGCATATCTGAACGCACATGAATTATTCGATTCAAATCATGTTTGTTGTCAACATTGCTTTCATTTGTATTAATTTCTCAATTTTTGCTATATACTCTCAGTTCGGTTTGCTACAAGATGTATTGTGTTTGAGATGCATCATGTTTTACAGTCATGTCAAAATGAAAATATCGTGTTAGCTAAACATCTCTAAACATCTCAGTTTGTGATTATATCATTCCAGTACAGGAAACAAAACATCTCAAATTGCTATTTCCAGTCAGTACACAGACCAAGCAATTTAGTAGTACATCTCATTGAGTTTTGTCTCGACTGAACCAAAATACATTTATACAAAATACATTAGGACCCGCCAGCCATTCCAAACATTACTGTGACTAAAACAAAATACAATACGACAAACATTCTCATCCTTTATCTCTATACAGCAACTGATCTCTTCTCCATTCTCTGCTTCTCCTTCAGAGCTTCTATATCACCATCTTTGTCCGTCTAGATGAATAAGAGGCTCCAATTATAATTGATGTGATGTACTCGCATTATAATTGATGTGATGTACTCGCATTATGTACAAATCACATAATTAAGAGGACCTCCAGAATTAACACTTGCTTATACCTCATACTTCCTCCGTCTAGATGAATAAGTCATCTTAAGTTGTGCACCGCAACCAAGATGGAGAGGAAAACGAGAGAATTTAATGTTTATTTGCTAATTAATACTA